GCTGACAGACAAGTGTACATGATCTTTTATTTCCCATGGCTTTATCCTCAGCTGTTGTAAATGGGCTTTGTCTATGTAATGGGGAACATGGTTGTTAGGAGTCTCTGGTTTCTTATTGACAGATTAGTGACACCAGAGGAGAATTGTTCTCCCCACCACTTCAGAATATAAACATTTCAAGGAAGGCTTTGGAAGACCTACCACTGCTCAGTCACTGAGGTCACCAGAATGGAGGTGATATAGTTGGACAGGCATGAGTCTAACGGGTCCCAAGGTTTGGGTTCCAGTAAATTACAGTACAAAAAAAGGAGGAAAACTACCCCTTTCCCCCAAATTCATAGAAGACAAATAGAGGATGCCAAGCAGATGAAATGGAGCATGTTCACTAGACTGTAGAAGGCAACGACTGAACTCTACTGAGAGCCAGGTTTTCCACTAGGTGCTTGACATACATTAAGAAAGCTGATTGTCAAAAACAACATGTAATGTAGATGTTCCTATGCCCATTTGAACTCATGGTTAAATAAAATGTGAGTTGATGAAGGAACTCACAGTTTACTTCCAGAGTGAGGAGCCCAGTTACTGGCTCATGCCTTCCGTGCTTGAATTGACCAGAATACCAGGAGAAGTTCTTATCCCAAATCATCTGCCAGCTGGCTCCCCCTTTTTTTCCCAACTGGATGAATACGATAAAAAGCAGGATTTCAAAAATGTATTTTCTTTCTTTCTTCTTTCTTTCTTTCTTTCTTTCTTTCTTCTTTCTTTCTTTCTCTTTCTTCTTTCTTTTCTTTCTTTCTTTCTTTCTTTCTTCTTTCTTTCTTTCTTTCTTTCTTTCTTCTTTCCTTTCTTTCTTGCTCTTCCTTTCTTTCTTTCCTTTGTAGCTATGGTAATTGCTATAACCAATGATCCCTTCAACTGTACTAGAAAAAGCCCATGACTGTGGTGGTAACTGGGCATGGTGCTCTCTGGAAGGACCACAGAGCAGGGCAGGAGAGGACAGCCTGAGGCAGTGGAGAGAGGTAGGTTGGCAGGCTTTCGAGCATCACAGGCAACTGTGTCACTTGACCCAGGGATCTGGTATTTGTTATCCATACATCCAGCAAGTCTACATTTGTTGGCAATTTATCTGAATCCAACACTCTCCTAAGGATCTAAGATAAAAGGATGCCATTGACTAAGAAGCTCGCAGTCCTGGGGGTGGGGGGGTGGTGGAGGCAAGTAAGCTCGGACAATATTACTACTCAGCACTGGGACAGGGACATACCAGGTGTGGGCAAGCTAACTCAGCAGGTAGGGAGGGCCTCAGAGAGGAGGGAGCACTTGGGCTGAACCTGTAACAATAAGTACAAGTGTTATGATGCTGTAAGTTACTTCAAAATATGCACTAGAGACATCGGGATAGTATGTGCTTATTCGTACTGCATTCTGTGGGGCGGTCAGTTACTCTGGTCAGAGCTTTACAGTCCAGATCAGAGATTTACATTCCAGACTCAATGTAAGTCAGGGCCCAGAGCTCCAGCTTCCTTATTCCAAAAGGAACAAGAAGCTTTTTTTTTTTTTTTTATTAAGTTAGGATAGTGAATGTTAAGAATGACTCTTCAGTGGGGGATAGTATTGCCTTCTGAATTAGCATAAGGGATATTACAAAGGGTCTCTCATTGATGAAAGTAGTGGTATTGGATACATGTGAGTCCAGTTATGCACTGGCTGCAGTATTTTAGAGACCTTTCCTGCCTCTCCATAACCAGGGTGTAAGAATCCACTGAGGTCTTTATACTCTTACGCGGGTGCCTGAGGCTGATACCTAAATGATTGGATTGGCAGATTCTGAAGCCATCACAAGGCTGATAGGGTCCTGCTCCTATACAGAATGCCGGTGTCTGCTTTCAGTATACTTTCTATGTCAAATGGTTGTCAGATCATCTAGAAAGGCACTGGAATTCACCAAGCTCACAGAATAACTCTGATGGGTCTTTTACTTGCCTGCCTGCTAAAATGTGCTCGCTGAAAAGGTATCTCTACACGTGGAAGATATTGGTCCTGAAAGTTGTTTTCCTGATAATATATTGTGCACGTGGGGTTTGGATACTACCTTCACATGCCAGAAAGATGGCGCATGACCAGATTGGTTTAGGTCAATCTGCAACAAGGAGCTCAAGCACATAGTGCAGGCAGAGGGGTGCTCTCTGGGCAGGGAGGACACGAGGGACCAAGGCACAGGGAAGTTCTCAGGGGCTTGTAAATAGGTGGGTTCCCCTGAGGGAGGGATAATGAGAATGTTTCCCTCCTGAAGGACTTTCATGCTCTGCTGGGTTTGGATTTCAGCCCTCACATCGGTGTTGTTGAAAATGTGCCCCAGATGACCTGTGCCGGAATCACTTGGCGGGGATGGGGCCTAGAGTAAGCTCTCTTTTTTAAGAGCACAAGTTCCCCAGGCAAGTTTTCGCCCATCAGAGTTTATTTATTTTTTTTTTAATTTTTTTTTCAATGTTTTTTTTATTTTTTATTTTTGGGACAGAGAGAGACAGAGCATGAACGGGGGAGGGGCAGAGAGAGAGGGAGACACAGAATCGGAAACAGGCTCCAGGCTCCGAGCCATCAGCCCAGAGCCTGACATGGGGCTCAAACTCACGGACCGCAAGATCGTGACCTGGCTGAAGTCGGACGCCTGACTGCGCCACCCAGGCACCCCCCATCAGAGTTTAAAGAGAACCACTGCAAGGTGCTCGGCCGCGGGATGACTGGGTGGTGGTGCACCAGACCCTCTAGGAGCAAGGCCAAGTGTGGCGGGAGGGTCTGGCTGGAGACCCGGATACAGGTCGGGAGGTTCTGGTGACAGTTCGGATGATGGTTCTGGAAGTGGGGAGTTGGTTTAAAGAGCGCGGGTAGCCAGCCTGACTGAACGACTGACGGGCTGCCAGGAGGCTGGTTGAGCGAGCCGGCTGGGCTTACGGTGGCTGACAGATGTCTGGCTTGGGGACAGAGTGGAGAGTGACAGGAGCAAGTCTCTCTCGGGTGGCTGTTGGTTGTCCTTTTGGTCTCGAGCACGTAGACGGATGCTTACGTGCAGTCCCGTCACGCCCTGGGCCTGTTGCCTGTGCCGAAATGGCGTGGAGTGACCGGGTCCCCGGAGCATCACCCCTGCCGCCTGCCCGCCTGGCAGCTGCACCCCTCCTCCAGGTTGCTCGTCCCCTGCCTGTGGCATGCAGGCGTGACATGATAAATTCTAGAACACACGGTTCAAACAAAAACAGCCTTATTCGATAACATTCATGTGATAAGCAGTTATATTCTTCACCATCACCTGCGTTTAGTTCCCTTTAAATAAAACACAGACTAACCCAAAAAGTGGATTATGTGGAAGAAAACAACAGGGCCGTTTCCCTCTGGTCACCGTTGCCCCAAATCCCTGCCAGATGGTCAAGCAGAGCAGCTCGTGTATCAGCAAATTACGGAACCTCATTAGGACCCTATTTCATGTTTTTAGATGCCACGGGCCTTTATACGAGGTGATGTTGATTTCTTAAACTTGTATGACAACATAATGAATGCGTGTTGGTGAAGTGTCCAATGAAATGTGAAACAATCGGTGAATTCTTTGCATATTTTATTTTTCTTTTTTTTGATTTCCAACTCACACACATCTGGCATATTTTACATCTTTGCAATAAAACATGGTTACAATAGCTGAAGGAATTTATATATCCAAAATATTTCACCATGATCTCAAGATGAAATGAACTTGTCTTCCAGATGTTCAGTATCCTCCCAATTCTAAGCTACAAACTCAAGATATTGCTTACAGCCTGGTGATGAATAACTTAATCATTACGCTGATTCCCCAGAATTTCAGAATCTCATAAATACAAACAACAATGAAGAAGGAATTCAGTGCTAAAACTTACTAATACAAGGTGGATGACAAATAAGTAATCACACCAATAAATAATGATATGTTTCTGGTGCAAAGTGCCAATACAAAGAACCCATTATCTTGTGTTATCTTTTTAAATAAATGACTGCAAGTGAGTGTAAATTCTGAGAAAATCACATTCCTGTAACATGCCTCATAGCCCTACCGACACAATATGTACATCTATGACGATACAGTCACCAAATATACAAAGAAGAAACATGAATAAAGTGTATATACCCCTGGGTGTATAACTTGATCAGTACAATGTATGGAAAATCATTTGACACCCATCATCTTATATCATAGAAGATGAAGTGCCTTAGGCTAAGAATGTGGCTTTAGGTGAGAATTTCACAAGAACCTAAAAGAATAGCCTCAGTTATTGTTATAATAAAGTCTGGCTTGTTATTAAAGAAACTAAGCTATTCGAGAACCAAAGAGAAAAAAAAATCCAAAAATAGTTAGCATCAGATTCTCCTCCCCTAATGTACACACGCTAAGCCAGCAGGATGAGTCTGGAAGAGATGTCCAGGAGTTGGGAAGTCATTACTATGGAACTAATGGGCGTGACTTCTATTTATACAAGAAAAACCAAGACCTCATCCCTAAGCCCCCTTTCTGCTGTGTCTTCAAATTATGAAGGGTAGGGCTGAATTTTCTGTGTCTAAAGTAGCAAAAATGGCAAATAATGGCTTAGTATCCAAATGCTTTATGAGCAAATTTCACTTAGAAGGGATGAATTTAGATTAAAAAGTGCAAACCATATTTTGGTGAAAATGTCAAAAATTACTGTTTGAGCCCAAATTCAACCCTTTCGTACAAGCTGTGTCCTTGGACGGATCTTTCTGTTTCATAGTCTGAATGCACCTGTTCCATCGAGACATCAGGATTAAAGAACATGCAAGTTGTAACTCCACAATAAAATTAAGAAACGTTTTGTTCTTTATACAAGGTTTTACTTTTACAAAAGTATCCCTTTAAATAAGATGCATCTGATGTACAAAGTATCAAACGTGTTTTTTTTTTTTTTTTTCTCAGCTTGAAAAGAGGCTGGAAATGGGATGCAGGTTAGGTTCAAAGCTTAAACTTTGTAACAACTGGACACAAGGTTCCTCAGAATTGTCAAAAGTCTCTTGTGAAGCGTCCTACTACCTTTTCTCAATAAACAACAATATATGAAATAATTACCAAAACATCTCCTAATTCATATAATTTACATGATATAAGCTTGCTTGGTAGCAGCTGGTGTTCAGTCGTGAAAAAACACACAAAGTAAAATGGCTGCTGACTACAATGTACAGCTATTGCTGGGTGTGATGGAATGTACAAACGGAGGTCGATGTAGACGAGTTTTTTCCCACCAGAGATATTGCCTTTCCATGCAGCACTTGTGCTCTCAGCTTTAACTTGGCTTTTGGTTCTTCATTTGTCTTCAGTATCTGTTCTGATGCTCATAATGCCACCGGTTAAAATCTATATTAAAAGCTACGATGCTACCAGAAGCCATGCCAGTGATCAGAGTCCTGGAAAAGCAGAGATGGTGGTTAAGAGCGGTATGAAATCACTGATGTGGTTGCTGCTTTACGGTAGATGGTATCATGGTCTCTAAGTTCACCAAGTCTTGGTTTTGTGCTCATTGAGAGAGGGTTACAACTTATTCTTGGTTCTCCTGAGAGAAGCTGAATCTCTCCTGCTCACACCTGAACTGCCAGACCTGAACTGCTTGCTTAGCTTTTGATCGGACACTTCATCAGATAAACGCTCTGGGTGTGCATCTTCAGTGTGTGTACATGGCTTACATGCACGTGTTGCTGTTCTAACTTTCCAGGGACATTATAAAAGGCAAACAGAATTGAAATTAGGGATGAAATTAAAATAGAAATAGAAACTTTGTTAGTATCTTTCTTCACTCCTCTTTGGAGCCCCCTGGCACTACTGTGACCTTGCAGGTGCTCCCATCTACCCCCTCTCCTGGTGCCCACTGAATAAAGCCTTTCCTGCCCCCTCACCCTCAGGAAAAGTTGATCCCTTCCCTCTTCTGTTGGGGTGTCCCCGCTTCCCTCATATACAATTATGATTATCTGGTAGTGCTCAGTCGATGACGGTAGTAGCAGATGTTTGCTACACGAATACATGAACGACTAAGAACGCCAGGGAGAACACTTAAACTACTTAACACAATTTCAAGCACCTTATTTCAAAAACTTTAGAAACACTCATGTATATACACATAATCACACAATAAAGCATTCCCATTTACTCATGAGTATGGACGACAGCATTTTGGAATACTCTAATAATCTTAGCCTGCTTAATTTTGCTTTCTGCAGATCAAATATCCCTTCCCCAAACTGAATCAAATTGCGTTGCTTTTCCTGATGACGTCAGTACCATTTTACTAGATTGTGTGATGCTTTGTTAAACGTGTTATATATGCTTTAATATTTATAACATTTTGAAAACAATATTTTCATAAAGAATACACAGATGGTTGAAAATTTTGGCTAGTAAGCTTTTCTTATTTCTGTTAAATATACAGCAAAAATAAGAGAGAAATTACATACCACATTAAGATTATCGGGTTTAAAAATTTTTAAATGTACGATATTCCAAATATTCTTTTCACTTTATAATAAACCCCAAGGTGAATTTTAGGAAACAGTAAAATCCTGTTGCCAACTGAGGAACCATGGAAAATCAAATTAATTAATTCTCATACCAATTCTTTTTTTTTTTTTTTAATGTTTATTTATTCTTGAGAGAGACAGAGACAGAGTGCGAGCGGGGGAGGGGCAGAGAGAGAGGGAGACACAGAACCCGAAGCAGGTTCCAGGCTCTGAGCTGTCAGCACAGAGCCCGACGCAGGGCTCCAACTCACGAGCTGTGAGATCATGACCTGAGCCGGAGTCAGATACTTAACTGATTGAGCCACCCAGGTGCCCCTGTCATTCTTTTTTAAATGTTTATTTATTTTGAGAGAGACAGCACCCAAGTTCATGAATAGGGGAGGGCAGAGAGAGGGGGAGAGAGATTCCCGAGCAGACTCTGTGCTCAGTGTGAATTCATGAGCCGAAATGAAGAGTCGGATGCCTAACTGACAGGTGCCCTGTTTTGTATCTTTTTAAAACAGGCCAGCTCTGGTCTACACTGAGCCTTCTGCTGGGAACTGCTAGCTACAAGTATGACTCGAGCTGAAACGCACCTCTGCTGAAACACACGTGTCTCCACTTTCCAGAAGGGAAGCCTGTGGACCCTGAGACTAAGTGAGGATCTTCGAGCAGGGACGTTAGTGGGAACAGTTCTGTTTTGGGCAGTGTCTGATGTGCCTGTTCTCCCTCTGACCCATTCCTTCCTTTCTTCCCCCTGCCTTATTCTCTTCCTCTGTTTTCATCTTACCAGAATCCTTTCCTAGAGCATTTACTACCGTCCTCAATTTACCCTTTTCTGTGCTAGCCTTTCTTCCATCTGGATGCTGGAGACTTATTCACAGCACATTTCACCCTTGGTAGAAGGTACAGGACTTTCAAGGACAGTTCTCAAGTGATTACATTTCTCCTTCATGTGGCTCACCTCTGGTCATGGGATAAGTCCATTGCTCTAATGCCAGCATCACATCCAGGGTAAATGTACAGCTGCTTGAAGTCACAGGCCTGCCAGACCTCCACCACACCATTGTCCCCTCCAGTCACCAGGTTCTGGCCATCGCTACTCAGGAGAATGGCCTTCAGAAAAGGCAGAAAAGCAGCCATTTCTCTCAGATTTTCCCAGATGGTCAATGGTCATTACTGAAAAGCACTCAATTCAGTTCCCTCATAATTATTTTCTACTTTTAGCCATTTGTCCAAGTTTTCTCAAGTGCAGTCTACAAAATTTCCAATGTGGAATTCATCAGAGTTCTTACATAAACAAAGGATCTTATTAAAACCAATTAAGGTTACAAAATAACAGACGTCCCAAAGAGAATATTATCAATCTAATCCGGGAAGAACTTGAGAATTGAGTAACATGATGTTCTGTTAAGTCTGAATATCAACAATGTCAAGACTTTCAGAACAAATGGCAGAGGCACCATTTCAAAACAGCTTTTAATAATGATAAACCAATAATTACAATTCACTTATGAGCGAAGGGCAATCTGGTACACGTACTTTTGGTCTAGGGTTCTGAAGATAAGATTCTTTGACAATAAACTCACTTTTAATGTCAGGGGGTGTAGCGCTGCTTATAAAAGAGCTGAAGAAAAATCTCCTTAAGGGTCTGACCCTCATCAAACAAAAGCTGTCATCTCTAAAATCAAATTCACAGAGTTACCTACTTGGGACTAAATGAACTTTGGGTTTGTTCAAAGCATCAATCCACATGAATTTACCTGCTTTTAAAACCACCACACATTTCTTTATCTGGATACCAGAGAAACTGTATTATGGATCACTTAATGTGAGATAGTCGATCTTCAATCTGATGGCTTCAGTCCCTGTTTAGCACCGAACATGCAGACCTACCCGTGTTGAATCATTGATCTCCATCTGAGCCAAAAGTTTCCCATTAATGCTGAAATTGCTGAATCGTCCTCGTTCATAGTATATGATACAGTGGCCTTCACTTGAGACGGAAATCAAGCGCGGGGACAAGCAGTTCTCTGGTCCTTCAAGGGCTCGCAACAAATCTCCAGTGATGGTGTGGACAAGGCAAGGACCCTCTGCAGAAGGAGGATATCAACGGCCAGAGTCATTCATAATGACTAGTCACCTATGGGTTCTTACAAACACACTGACACTACCTGGGTACATACACTCAGATTTGTGGAAGGAGGCAGAAAAGAAAAGAGGTACGCTGGCGGGAGCCAGGCACTGATGTTACGTTTAAACAGAACAAACACAGGGAGCTGTGTCTTCTGAGCTGACCTTCTCAACTTTTCATCTAGGGAAATACTTGGTCTTTTTCTACGTGAGATAATATTCTTTTTTTTTTTTTTTTTTAATTTTTTTTTTTTTTTCAACGTTTATTTACCTTTGGGACAGAGAGAGACAGAGCATGAACGGGGGAGGGGCAGAGAGAGAGGGAGACACAGAATCAGAAACAGGCTCCAGGCTCTGAGCCATCAGCCCAGAGCCTGATGCGGGGCTCGAACTCACGGACCGCGAGATCGTGACCTGGTTGAAGTCGGACGCTTAACCGACTGCGCCACCCAGGCGCCCCAGAGATAATATTCTTAAAAAAGGATACAGTCCATAGATAATGTGAGATTAAAATACTGTATGTCCCAAAGTTTTCTCTTCATGCGATTTTAGAAATGTTTCTTCAAAGTTCAGAATTATCCACACAACTGCTAATTTTCTTTAGTTTCATCAGAACTTTAACATTATACCACATAAACACGTTCCTATCATAATGAGTTTCACCTTTTCTACAATTCATACATAAAATGTAAAAGGCAAAGTTAAGATAATTAATCAAGTGATTCAGACTGTAAAACAAGTGATTCAGAGTGTAAAAACACTTTTTGTCTTTAAATATGAATAGTGAAGTGAGAGAATAAAAATAGTATGGGGGCTGACTTATTTTGCTCCAATTTTTTTTTCCTTCCTCCTGGTAGAAATTGTGTTGATAAGATAAAAATTTCACTAGTCAAGTTCATAAAAATAACTGGTTAATATAGCTTGGTATTACCTGTCTCCCAATCAAAAAAAAAAAAAAAAAAAAAAAAAAAAAACTCATAAAGACAGCTAATGAATTATATTTTTCAACTGACTCCAGTAGGTGGGAATTTTATTAAACAAGTGGCATTGTAAAGCTATACCTAAATTTTTACTAAATAGATGTGCATGATAGAAAAGACAGAAAATTAGAAAGAAAAAGAAGACAGCAATCATCTCTAATATCACCCATCACCTGTACAAAATTAATGTTTTCTTCTATACCTACCATGTGTCTGTATTTTCCTTTTCCTTTTCTTTCCTTTCACTTTACAGGATAGGATAATCTTACACTTATCGTTACTTATTTTTTAGTTAAAAAGACATTTATTAAAAATATCCTACGTGTCCATAGGGTTATTTACTCTTACATACAAAAGTGAAAAACACTGTCGCTACCTTCAGACATTACATCTATTCTCCACAAAGCGGCCAGGATAAGCTCCTGAAAACCAAATACGATCAACCTTGCTTAAAAATCTCCAGTGAGTTCCCACTACACTCAAAATAAAAGGAACATCGCAAGTTCTTGTGCCACTGGTCCCCGGCCTGCCAGCCTTCTCTCTAACTCCGCTGAGACAGCATCCACTCAGCCCCTCTGGTTTTCTTGAAGTTTTTCCTGAGCGTTAGGCTTCTTCCTGCCCCAGAGCCCCTCACAGTGAATTGGTGTCTGATCCAGAATTAGAATCCAGGTTTCCTAACTTTTCTTGAAACAACGCTTCTTTCACCAAAAGTCAAAAACTCCAAGTAATCATGTTTCCTTTCCCATCAACCTCAACACAGTCCCGGGCCTGATGAAGGAAGGGGCTTCTGGAGGGAGGGGGGGTCCAAGGCCATGTCTGATAAGCAACCTGATTTCCCTCAGGGCCCCCACGGCATCATGAATATCTTCCCCCATCTTTTATAGGTTATTTTTAATGGCTGCATCATAGGGATGTGTTGCAGTTGAGTTTACCAGGGTTCTGGCTAGAGTGCTGGTGACCACAAAATACTACATAAAATTTCATATATATTTGATATTAGTACTAGTAAGTAATAATAAAACAAAATAGTTGCAATGAACCTAGGGATTACATTGTCTATATAGGGCAATGTCTATTTCCTAAAGGAAATAAATCACAAATCATGGTTAACTTGAGAGAATAGTAGTTTTTAAAGACTTAAAACAAAAGAAATGCCTTCTGACCTTTAGCACCACTGATAACAAGTCCAAGTTCTGCACAGACAGAAACACAGACAACTTCATGGTCATGGCCTGTGAGGACAGCTCTTGGGGCAGGATAGTCGCCTGCAAGGAAACAGGAGCAGTGGGTTACTACAGACCAATGGCAGAAACGAAGAGCTACACCACTACGTCAAACATTTACAATAATAACCGTGAACATCTATTATGGGCATTTGCTAGCTGTGTAACCATGAGCTGGTTGCTTAACCTCTCTACTGTTTCCTCATCTGTAACCTACTACTTCTGTAAAACTACTACATGGGTTGTTCAGATGCCTAAATAAGTTAACAAATGTGATGTGCTTACGACATTATGACAGTGGTGACAGCTATTCTTTTATTCCTATTGTTAGGAAACAAACCAAGGCTGCCAAGGTATTTATGTGCATTATCTCATTTGGTGATGGCAATATTCATAGGAGGTACGTACACTTATTATACTTATTTTATGGCTAGAAACCTAAGGCTCTGCAAGGTTATTCAATCTGCATAAGTTCATACAGCTAGTAAGTGTTGAAGCTGTCTAATTTTGAAACCCATGCCTTTACCCATTTAAAAATTTTCCCTAAAATCTCCAACAAAACAGGATGACACGCTTTGATTCTGAGGTGAGAGGTAAGTAGTAAAGA